GGGCTGAGGGGCTCGGGGCCTGAGGGGCTGAGGGGTTCAGGGGCTGAGGGCTGAGGGGCTCGGGGGCTCAGGGGCTGAGGGCCTGATGGGCTGAGGGGTTCAGGGGCTGAGGGGCTGATGAGCTCAGGGGTTCAGGGGCTGAGGGGCTCAGGATTTCAGGGGCTGAGGGGCTGAGGGGCTTTGGGACCCAGGCTGCCTGTAATAGCTCCATGCCTCCTAACTGACAGCCCAGGCCTCGGCTCCCCGGGACTCCCCAGGAACTGCCTGTGAGTCGGTCTGGCTCAGGTGTGTCTGAGTGTGTGCTGTTGTACTTGTCAGGTGCCATGTTGCAGTGTGCTTGTGTGCAAAGGTCTGGCCAAGGTGTAAGTGTGTGTATGAACATGTGTATGATTGTGTGAATGTGTGTGAAGATGAATGAAAATGTGTGTGAATGTGAGTGTGACTGTGTGTGTGAATTTGTGTGAATGTGTGAGTGACTCTGTGTGGGTGTGTGAATCTGAGTATGTGTGTGAGAGAGGGGGAGAGAGTGACTTGTGTGAGTATGTTTCTGCTGTGTGTTTGAGAGTGACTCTGTGTGTGTGTGTGTGTGTGTGTGTGTGTGAGAGAGAGAGAGAGAGAGAGAGAGAGAGAGAGAGAGAGAGAGAGAGAGAGAGAGAGAGAGTGCCTGTGTGACTGTGTTGGGTAGGTGGAGGCACAGGCCCCCTCACACCCCTGGATGAGCAGCAGCTCCGGAGCTGCTGAGAGGGGCCTTTGTGTCTGAGGACAGGCTGTCCCAGCTCCTGTCAGAACTCCAGGGACAAGCCGGCCTTGCTCAGGGGCACGCTCCACCCTCCACCCTTTCCTGCCCAGGAAATGAGGTGCAGAGAGCAGGGGGTGGGCTGTGGGGTCTGGGTTCCCAGGCAGAGGGGAGCCGGGGTCAGGTGCCCCATCTAGCCTGGAGGAAGGTCTGCATGAGTCAGGAGACACCCCTGGGACCTCCTGTCAGGGTCAGAGGAGCAGGCGGGGGGGGGGGGGGGGCACGTCTCCTGGCCCTCCAGTCACCCTCCCGCCTGCCCCGGGGGTGAGGTCTCAGTGCCTGGAGTCTGTGGCTGAGCCCAGCAGAGGTGCCTGGTGCCAGCCTCTGGGCCAGCAGCCGTGGGGAAGAGAGTCGCGGGGACACTGGGGTCCCAGGGCACTTGTTCTAAGAGGCGGGTGGCTCTGAGCCCTGGTGGGTCACCCCAGGACCTGAGTACCAGGGCTCTGGGCTGGGGGACACTGGGCTTCCCCTTGGCCCCTCGCGTGCTGAGTGAAGCAGGTTCTGCGGGTCACCAGCCCCTCGTGAAGTGTAACCTGGGCACTGTGTCCACTCTGTCACCCGCCCCGGCCAACTCCTGCAGCTGACCTCTGAGGGCACTGACCCTTGGGGGCCTCACTCTGGCTCAGACAGATGTGGGGGGGGTCCAGGGGTTGCTCTGAGGGAAGCAGGGCCGGCCCAGGCATCCTCATGGTCCTCTAAGGCCTCAGGATGGACTCTGCCCTCTCCCAGCCCCCAGTGGCCTCTGGAAATGGACACCAAGTCCAGCCGGAAATCCTTTCTGTCCGGGGAGCGGCAGGTGTGGACATGCTGTTTGTGCTGGATCTGTTTCCTCTCCGGGCAGACGTGCACAGGCCTGAGCCTCCGTACAGCTCCCCTGTCCCGTCTGAGCCCAAAGCCCCACAGTGGCTCTGGGCCTGCGTCCTCAGCGGCGCCACCTCAAGGGTCACAGGCCACACTGCACACAGGGTCTCCTCCACAGCAGAGACGGCCTCAGAGAAAACCCAAGACCCCTCTTCTGCCGCCTGCCACCCCATCCACAGCCCTGAGAAGGCCCACTTTGTCTTCTCTGCTCCAGCTCAGGGGAGGTGTTTGGAGAGCCAGGGGTGGCTGCAGCCCATGGTGTGACCGGGACAAGACAAGCTCACTGACCTGGTCAGAGGTACGGGGCTTCTGGCAATTCTCAGACACAGGGCTGGCGACTCAGTGCAGGCAACCCCAGTTGCATCCCTGTCCCTGGAACCACAGTCTCGCCCAGAGGCCCCAGCACCGCAGGAAAGCCGTGGGGAGGGTCCCATCCTGGTGGAGACACAGCTGGCTCCCAGGATCGGGGCTCCCCGGCTGTGGCCACCGTCACAGCCTGTGGTTCTGTTCCCTCTCCCGACGCCCAGTCCGGGAGCACTGAGGGCGGAGCCGGACAGCGCTGCCGTGTCTGCTGAGGGCAGAGCGGCAGGGAGGAGGGGAGTGGCCGGCCCTCCCGCCTGCGCTCAGGAAACGAGGACGCGAGAACCTCTTGCTTTCAAAGTCCTTTAATACAGCACGAAGGGCTGCTTGTCTGGACGCGAGCTGTACAGATCTCCAGGAATAAGGCACACAGCGGAATGCCATCCCGAGGGCGGCTCCGGGGCCGAGGCTGGAGCCTTCTCCACTGGCCGCGAGCTGGGCCCTCGGGCTCGGTTTGTCTTTTTAGCTGGACACACACACACACACACACACACACACACACACACACACACATTCACAGACAGACACACGGCCCGGCATGGCGGGAGGCTGGCGCTGCAGCCCGTCAGGAACACGGCTGCCCCGCGAGGCTGAACGTCAGGGTTAGTGCCATCAGCTATGATGCAGTGATGACGGGTTACTTCAGGGTAGATTCAAGTCGATTATATGACGTGGGGCAGATGGAAGGGCTCTGGGCGACAAATCCAAGGGCGAAGAGCCTGGGTCCACGCGGCCTCACGCTCCTGTCATCCTGTCAGCCCTGCGGCTGGGAGCCGAGCCCGGCCAGGGCCGGTCCCTGCAACCCCCAAATTAATAACAATAACAAGGTAATAATAAGGTGCGAGAGAAATGGATTAGATGCTAGGTTAGCCTCTCGGCAGAGGTTCCTTCCCACTGTCCCCTCGAACAGCTTCCACCAGAAAGGTCACACTGCCCTGGTACACAAACGTCTAAACAAGGAGCACAGGAATGCATCTCAGCACTTGAAGGACAGGCTGGCTACTTAATACTGATATTTCTGTCCAAAGAAAAAAATACGAGTAACAACGATATGGCTTCAGGGATTGCAAAAGGCTGCCCCAACCAGGGCCAGGCACCAACTCCATACAATGTTTGTCGACAATATTTCCTTCTTATTGCAGTTCACTTTGCATACTTTTTACAGACCAAAGCATAGTAGAAAAGGGGGGAAAATCAAACAAAACTCCAACAACGGGCATAAGGGAAACTTTCTCACCATAAATAGTTCCTTGCAGCTTGACCAGAAGGTGGAAAAACACTTTCAGAAATCTTTGTTGAGATTTGATCGGCCTCCTGAAAGCTCTGAAGCTCTTAAAATGCTTCGTTTTGTTCGTTTCTTCCCAAAGACCAAGCAATTATATGCTTTCCCTTTCCTTTTTTTTTAAAGGCCCTCAAATATATACAGACAAAAATCATGGTGAAGATTTTTGGGGGAGAAGGTAACAAATTCAGTGTTGTGAGAAAAATTGGCAACCATGCAGAAATTTTAACATCTACGTAATTTTCAAAATACACACACAGTAAGTTTTTTTTTTAAAAAAAAAGGAATTCCGTGTCAAGTATAACTCAAAATAAATACAAATTCACAAGTAGAACTATTGAATACTTCATATGGGGTAAACACTCTTCCATCTTCCCCCAGCCGGCTGGGACCTACCACCTGCCAACCACTGTCCCTTCCAACGACTCACACGACCCTCTAGCACTTACTTCCCCCAGCACGTGGCCTGGACGGCCTGGCTTTGCTCACCACACGGTGCCCCTGTGCCACGGAGAACAGGGTGGGAGACCCCGCGTGGCCGGCTCCTGCAGCCGGACAGACGCACCGACACCATCAGTCTAGAGCTCTGCTGGACCTGGCGCTTGGGCTGTTTGTAGGGCTGGGCTCTTCTGTTTCCACGACACAGGTATCCTGGGATGCCCTATGCCTTCCCCGTGGGGCCATGTCCCTGCAAGGGCGGGGCCCATGGCACACACCCCGAGAGCCTGCACACGGCCCCTGAGCCTGCACACGCCATCTGGGCCTGCATACACCCACCGAGCCGTACGCACCCCACCCCACCCCCCACCGAGCCTGCACACACCCCGAGAGCCTGCACTTGCCCCCCAACCGGCAGCCTGCACACGGCCCTTGCTGGGAGCCGCGAGGCAGACTTGCTCAGTGGCTCCAGCTTGCCCCGATGCCGATGCTGGCACCACCAGCGGGGGTCCTCGGGGCAGCCCTGGGGGAGGGGGTTGTTCACAGCCACCTGCTGCCACTCGGTCCCCATGGGCAGAACGAGCTGGCAGGGCTCAGACTGGAACAAACGCTCTCAGGACAGGGACCCCCAGATCTGTGGCCTTGAACCTACTCGCTGTCTGGCCAGGCGCCTGCTGTGGCCGTAGGGAGCGTGTGTGGGGCTCCAGCAGCCGCGGTGAGGGCCGAGTCTTCTCCACAGACACACTGGGGTGACGATCTGTGGCGGGGGGCCTCTGAGCAGACAGGGCCCCGCCCCTCCAGGGCAGTGACTCAGGTCTCTCCTGGGGGCGGGGACGCCTCCTCCCAGACCAGCTTCATGCAGCCCAGAGGCCCCTCGGGAGGTAGGAATCACAGTCCCCACTGCACAGTGGGGTGCCGGGCCTGGGGTCCCTGGGAGTGCGGGCACCCCGCCAGGCTGAGTCCTGCCTGGAGCAGCAGAGCCGTGTGGGGTGGGCTCAGGCACCTGGAACCCCTGGAATTCTGCAGAGCAGCCTCCTCTTGCCGTGGGGCCCCCAGGGGGGAGCAGCCCGGACCCTGGCCAGGTCCTCCTTAGCGCCTCCCCATCCCAGACCCAAATGGGGCCGGGCAGCTCGGTGGGGCTAGGGGCTCATGCGGGTGGGCAGCAGATGCCAGGCTGGCAGTGGCTGGAGAGCCCATGGGGCAGGGAACAGGGCGGCCCCAGAGAGTGCTGCTGACTGGGGAAGTTTCTGGAGGGTGCCTGGCTAGTCTCAGGGGACAGTCCCTTGGGGACAGGCTTTGGGATTCACAGTAAATTTAGTGCACTTTGTAGCCAATACAACGCTGCTGACCCCAAGAGGGTCCCAGGGAGGGGACACTGCAGGGGGCCTGCAGCCCCCGACAAGGGCTCTGCGGGGCCCTGAGCACTGAAGCTTGCTCACCCCACCCCGAGCCCGGCCCAGGTCCACCAGGGAAGTGTGGCTGGGGTCTGGCTTATGGGGGCATTTGTGTCCATAACACTGCTTGTCAGCCCACATGACCCAGAAATGAAGTGTCCCCCGACGGCACGGGCAGTGTGCCTGTGCCCCTGTGGAGGGCGGCGGCGGTCACTGGACGCGGCGGCAGTAGTAGCCCAGGACTTTGCACTTCTCACAGAGATGCTGTGGGTGCTCCTTGCTCTGGTCCGAGACGTCCAGGCCATCGGGCTTCTCCAGGGGTCTCTGCGGAGAGGGGGGAGGAGGTGTGGGGTGGGGAGAGCGGCAGAGGGGGGCACTGTCCAGGCGCTCTGGAGGCTGGCTGGGGGTTGGGGACGGGTGTGGGCACAGCCTGGGGACCCAGAGGCTCGATGCCCCTGTATGGACAGCTAGACCTCTCTTGGAAGCCCCCCAAACCTAGGACTGGGGCAGAACAGGGCACACAGACACTTCAGCTGAGGGACCGTCTGAGTCCGGCTGTGGGACCAGGGACTTCTCTCCTCTGACACAGTTCCAGCAGCCTGATGCCCTGAGTCACAGCACTGTGGGCTTGGGGTCACCCTTCAGCCCTGCACCCTCTGCAGGACTGACCTCTTCCTGCCTGTAGGGCACCGTGTGTCCTCAGGGGTCAGTGGGAGGAGCAGGAGGTGGTGGGGTCACAGGCCATGGGAAGGGCTCCACACTGCCCCTGGACACTGTGGCCACTCAGTGACGCTTCCCTGCTGTCACATGTGAGGTCCCAGGGCCCTGTCTGCTGCTTGGGAAGGGCAGGGACAGAGCCCTGGGGCAGGCAGGGATGTCCCAGGAGCCCCATCTTCTCTTAAGGCCCTTTGGCAGGGCAGCGCAAGTGGGGCCTCTCTGCTGCCCATGGCGTGAACCTGGCCCGGAACTTGACCTCTGTTCCTCCCAGGAAAGGGGACGATGACATGTAAGGTGGGAGGACAGATGGACAGACACTTTCTTGAGAAGAGGCACAGACGGCCGACAGGTCTACGAGAAAGTGCTGCACGCCCTCATCACCAGGGAAATGCAGAGCAAAACAGCAAGGGAAATCGTCACACAGCAGACACCCACACGGCACGAGCACAAACACGGCCAGTGTGGCAGAACAGAGGCCCTCGTCCACTGCTGCTGGGAGTGACGGTCCAGCCTTTCTGGAAAACATGGACACATCCAAACAACTAGAGACTCGGCTTCCACATGACCGAGAATTCTGTTCTGGGAACCCACTCAGAGGGCTCCAAACCCTCTTCAGAAAAGCAACTTGCACCCCCATGGCCCTGGCAGCGCTGGTCCCAACAGCCAGGATCTGGAGACAGCCCGAGTGCCCAAGAACAGAAGAGTGGACAAAGAAGCCAGGGCACCAGCGAAGATGAAATCATGCAATCGCTGCGAGGCGGATGACCCGGAGAGGGAGACACAGAACCATCTCACTGGGACGTGGACATAGGAGACGGTCGGGGACGGTCAAGGGCCCTGAGAACTGGGTCTAAAGAACTGAGACAGGGCAGAGGAAATGGACACTGGTGGAGGGTGTGGACATGGGCCCTGGTCACTGACGGCATTGGGAATCAGTGCCGAGATAAAACTGTGATGGATGAGAGCCACTGTCGTCACATTCCCGGCCATGACTTGAGATTGGTGACGGCAAGGGAAGGGGCAGTGGCTGACAGAGCAGCACTGAAAGTGGAAACATCCGGGCTTGTGGGCGCCACTGGCGTCACCTGGGAAGGCCTGCGGAGGGCTGTAAGAAGGGCTCCCTGGCCTTGGTAGCGCTAGGCTCGGGGTCCCTCTGGCCTCAGACTCATACTCCACAGCTCTCCACCTCTTGAAACTGGCGCCACCCAGAGTAAGGATGTGATACGGCAGTTGTGAAAAGTGAATCAGTTAGGGGCTGGAGCGATAGCACAGCGCGTAGGGCCTTGCACGCGGCCGACCCGGGTTCAATTCCCAGCATCCCATATGGTTCCCGGAGCACTGCCAGGAGTAATTCCTGAGTGCATGAGCCAGGAGTAACCCCTGTGCAAAGCCGGATGTGACCCAAAAAGCAAAAAAAAAACAAAAGTGAATCGGTTAATAGGTGCAGTCACTGGAACAGTGCCCCACATGGACTATCACTGTTGGCTGGCGTTACCATCACACACAACCTTAGGTAGGGCTGGGGGGTGGGCTGGGAGCCAGGCAACCTGCAGAGGCCCAGTGGGAACCCCTGCATCCCCCTCAGCAGCCCTCACCTCTTCGGGCTGCCCCTCCAGGCCCTGCCCCCTTCAGCCCCGCCCCGCCATAGTGCCACGGCCCCGCCCCTCCAGGTAGCGCCCTGGCCCCGCCCCTCCAGGCCCCTCCCTCCAGGTGGCCCCCGCCTGGCCCAGCCCTTCCCAGTTGGTTCCTGGAGAAACCCCGCGGGGTGCAGCTGGGGAGGCTGAGCCCGGCCTCCCCTCGCCCAGGGCAAACACTGAGCAGCTGGGACCGATGACCTGGCCATCCCCACGGCCAGCGGGGAGGCGGGGCCTTTCACTGTTTTCTTTTCCTGGGGGGCAGGGTGGAGGGGGCAGAGGTTGACGGGAAACAGATGTGGCTCTTGGGGCCGGGAGGGTTCTCAGGTCAGAGCTGGGGGCCGGAAACTACAGCCCCCAGCACCCCGGGGAGCGGGCACCCCACCTCCTTGGCTCATCAAAGGCTGCTGGGGCGACCTGGCTTGGGTGTGCAGAGGCCGGGTCCCAGGCCAAGTGACTTTGCCCCCTTGCCGGTCCCATGGGGTCATCCCCTCCCACTCCTTCCCTCTGGCCCTACTCCCGCCCGCTGCACCCCTCCCTGCCTCAGACATTCCCAGGGGTGCTTCCCCCCTGCCCCCAGCATGGATGGGCACCAGCATGGCGCGGTCCGGAGGTTGCTGCGTGTGGCCCGGGCTGAGCAGGACAGACAGACGGACGGGCTCCAGCAGGGGTCCCTGGCACTCAGGATACCTCAGGGTGACAGGGTCTGGGGGGCTTGGGAGGGGGAAGGAGGCCCCGGGGGCACCGCGGGGCGTGGGATCTCAGCGGCCTTCTGCCGGGACCTGGCTGGCCACAGAGGGTCAGCCCCTGCAGGGTCCACGCCTGCTGTGTCCTCTCCTTGCAGGAAGTGGCCTCTCCTGACCCCAAGCCCCAGCCTGCCCTGCTGTCCTCCAGCAGGACACCCCAGCCCTGCTCCAGGCTCCAAGGCGCTCCTCGGGCCGCGAAACGCCCCGCCCGGCACCAGCACCGCGTGTCCTCCCCCTCCCCTGGGGACGGCACTGCAGGCCCTGGGCCGCTCAGTCCCGCCTCTCCCGCCACGGACCCCCGCCAGTGCTGGGCGGCAGAGATGGCCCCGCCGGAGGCCCCTTGCCCACAGCTTCACAGGCGGTCCCCGGCGGTCCCCGGTTCACTCCCAGGCATGCGGCTCTGCTGTGATCCACTGTGAAACAGGCTGCGCAGAACCTGGGCTGGAGGCGAAGCCCAGCAGACGCAGCTCAGCAGGGGCGCCTGAAGGGCACCTGTGTGTGGGCGGGGCCCCTGCTGGGAACGGGCACCCCCACCCGGGGCGCAGGTGAACCCCGGTGCCTGCAATGCCGGGCCTCCCCCAGGTCCCCTCTCACGGCCCCAGTGGGCGGGGCCTGTGTCAGACTGGCGGGGGGGGGGGGGGGGGGGGCGTGTACCGGTAAACAGAGGGTGGGCAGTGCATGGGACGGGGTTGTGAAGGGTGTGTGGGAGGGTGGTGGAGGGTGTGTGAGGAGGTGCGTGTGGAAAGCTGTGAGTGAGGGTGTGTGGATGGTAGATGAGGGTGTGTGAGGGTGTGTGTGAGTGCTGAGGGTGTGGATGAGTGTCCGGGAGTGTGTGGTTTGTGAGGGGATGTGAGGTGTGTGAGGGTATGTGTGTGAGGGTGTGAGGGTGTGAGAGTGTCTGAGAGTGTGTGAATTGTGTGAGGGTGTGTGTGAGGGATTGTGAAGGTATGTGTGAGTTGTCTGAGGTGCTGTGAGGTGTATGAGAGTGTATGAGAGGGTGTGTGTGAGGGTGTATGAGGATGTGTGTGAGGGTGTGTGAGGATGTGTGAGGGGATGTGAGGGTGTGTGTGAGGGTGTGTGTGAGGGGGGTGTGAGGGTGTGTGCGAGGGTGTGTGAGGATGTGTGTGGGGGGTGTGAGGGTATGTATGTGAGGGTGTGAGGGTGTGAGAGTGAGAGTGTGTGAATTGTGTGAGGGTGTGTGTGAGGGATTGTGAAGGTATGTGTGAGTTGTCTGAGGTGCTGTGAGGTGTATGAGAGTGTATGAGAGGGTGTGTGTGAGGGTGTATGAGGATGTGTGTGAGGGTGTGTGAGGATGTGTGAGGGGATGTGAGGGTGTGTGTGAGGGGGTGTGTGAGGGGGTGTGAGGATGTGTGTGGGGGGTGTGAGGGTATGTATGTGAGGGTGTGAGGGTGTGAGAGTGAGAGTGTGTGAATTGTGTGAGGGTGTGTGTGAGGGATTGTGAAGGTATGTGTGAGTTGTCTGAGGTGCTGTGAGGTGTATGAGAGTGTATGAGAGGGTGTGTGTGAGGGTGTATGAGGATGTGTGTGAGGGTGTGTGAGGATGTGTGAGGGGATGTGAGGGTGTGTGTGAGGGGGTGTGTGAGGGGGTGTGAGGGTGTGTGTGAGGGTGTGTGCGAGGGGGTGTGAGGATGTTTGTGTGAGGGTGTGAGAGTGAGAGTGTGTGAATTGTGTGAGTGTGTGTGAGGGGTTGTGAAGGTGTGTGTGAGTTGTCTAAGGTGCTGTGAGGTGTACAAGAGTGTGTGAGAGGGTGTGTGTGAGGGTGTATGAGGATGTGTGTGAGGATGTGTGTGAGGGTGTTTGTGAGGGGTTGTGAGGGGGTGTGAGGGGGTGTGTGAGGGGGTGTGAGGGGGTGTGTGTGAGGGGGTGTGAGGGGGTGTGCGAGGGGCTGTGAAGGTGTGTGCGAGGGGGTGTGAGGATGTGTGAGGGTGTGAGGGTGTCTGAGAGTGTGTGTATTGTGTGAGGGTTTGTGTGAGGGATCGTGAAGGTGTGTGTGAGTTGTCTGAGGTGTGGTGAGGTGTACGAGAGTGTGTGAGGGTGTGTGTGAGGGTGTGTGAGGGTGTGTGTGTGAGGGGGTGTGAGAGTGTGTGTGTGAGGGAATGTGAGGGGGTGTGAGGGTGTGAGAGTGAGACTGTGTGAATTGTGTGAGGGTGTGTGTGAGTTGTCTGAGGTGCCGTGACGTGTATGAGAGTGTGTGGGAGAGACTGTGAGTGGTATGGGTGGGTGTGAGGTGTGGGTGCGCACACACCCAGCCAGTGTGGGGGTCAGAAAATGACCTCTTGTGGCATCTGTAAAAACCACTGCCACAGCATGAGACCCTGTCCAGGCCCCTGCCAGCCCCTGGCCGCCCAGCCTGCCACCGCAACCTGCTGGTCCACTCAGCCACACGGCGTCCCCCGGCGCACCCCATCCTGCATGGCTGTTCTCTCGCCCCCTCCGTCTCCCTCAGGGCCACCCTGCTGGCCCCATGGGGTCACCACCTCCCACTCTTTCCCTGTGGCCCTACTCCCGGGCCCACTGCACGCTCAGACACCCCCAAGCCGGTGGCCGCAGAGCCACGTGTCACCTCAGCTCCCAGAGCCAGACACGGCAAGCAGTGAGGTTTCCCAAGGGCCCAAGTCCTGTCCCGCCTCACACGTCCCACCTCTGCCTTCGAGCATCAGAGACACCCCAGCCCCCACCGCTCCAGAACTTTCTGCTTCCTCCAGATCCTTCTCACTGGCCGACTGCTCCCGATGTCCCAGGTCTCCTTCACCTCCTGACCCATTTCTCTTGCTCTAAGAGCTTTGGACCTGGAGCACTCCATGAGCACTCCGGGCCCCCAGGGCATTTGCACCTACTCTACTGTCTTTCTAGGATATCTTCCTCCCATTGGGACACGTCAAGCTTCTCCCCCTTTTTTAGGTTTTGAGGTCAGAGATCTCAGGGGCTGTGGCTCTGTGCTCAGGAATCACTGGGGAGACCAGTTGGGATGCCGGGGATCAAACCCGAGTGGGCCGCGTGCAGGGCAAGCGCCCCACCCCAGTACGATCTCTCCCGCCCCTCCCAGAGCAAGTGCTGCCCGTGACTCTCTCAGGCCCTCCGGGACCGGCAGGGCTGCTACACGGGAGGCACCAAAGCTGCTCCAGTCGCCCCCGCCCTTCACTAGCCCAGATGGGGTCCCCGCATCCTCCTCCACCTGGGAACAGCCTCCCCCGCCCATGCAGACAGACGGGGGCTCACCTGCTTGTGGGGGTACACGTTGATGTGGCACTTGATACACTCCTGCCCCATGTTGGCCCAGGAGTTGCCACTCATCCACTTCCTCTTGCACTTGGGGCACTTGTACTCGCCAAAGCAGCGCTTCTTGCCCTGGTAGGGGGTCAGCCCCTCGCCCTTGGGCCGCGCCTGAAGAACAAGAAGCAAGCACAGGGGTTGGCCAAAGGGCATCGCCCAGGCCCCCAGCCCCTCCGGCATTCACGGCCCGTGCTCCCGGTGAGGCAACTTCTCTCTCTCCCTCCCTCCCCTCAAGACAAAACAAAGTCTCTCAGGGCCACCAAGTCACAACTGAGCATCTGGACGTGTGGACCGCGGCACGGTTCGCTGACCACAGCCTTGCAGAATGCAGTTTCCACTTTCACTGTTGAATATCTCGTACGACAGGCGAGGGACGCGGGATGTCTGTGATTTTGTACCTGGGACTGTAGACTCGGTTCCTGAGGTGAAACTGCTGGGTCACCAGCATGTGTGTTTTCTTCTGTTCTGGTTTTTGTTTGTTTGGGGGAGGCCACACCGGGTGGTGCTCAGGGCTGACTCCTGGCTCTGTGCTCAGGATCACTTCTGATGGGGCTCGGGAAACCCTGTGTGGTGCCGGGGACCACACCTGGACTGGCTGTCTATCAGGCAACCCACGTTTGCCCCTGCACTGTCTCTGCAATTCCAGACGGTCCCTTTGCCGTTTTGTGCCAGTCTGTCTGCTTTCACTATTTCTAGTCCACACCCACTGTCCAGCAATTATTTTTCATATCCTGATTTCCTCCTCCGCCCCTCTCGGAGTGCCCGGCAAGCTACCCAGAGTATCTCGCCTGCACGGCAAAGCCTGGGAAACTCCCCGTGATGTCTTCGATATGCCAAACACAGTAACAACAAGTCTCACGCTGGAGACGTTACTGGGCCCGCTCGAGAAAACTGATGAACAACGGGAGGAGAGTGACAGTGACAGTGACCCTGATTTCACAGAGCACAACCCCCTCACATTTCCATCCACTTCGTTCCCGAAGGCCCAAGGTCATCTTGTATTGGTCTTGCCCTTGAGTCACTTCTGGCAGGACGTGGGGAGCCCTGGGAGATGCCTGGGACGAGGCAGGTGCCTCCCCGCGGTGCTAACTCCAGCCTACACCGGGCTGATCTTTTCCAAGGGCAGAGCAGCGCCTGGGAGTTCCCACGCCTCTAGCCCGCCTCTGCTGATGGGCCTCCAGGCTGTGCGGTGACACGTCCCCCGGATGAGGGCGGGAGTGTCCTGGGCTGCCCGGCAGAGCGGTGCTGGGTTATGGGTTGCTGCGCCCTGCGCTACTGAAGAACCGCACACGGTTTCCCTCCGAAACTGCCAGTCTGCACCCTTACCGATAGCGAGCAGGGGTGACTCTCCACCCCCTGCCCACCAGCACCTGCCGTCCACCCAGTCACTTGGCCACTCTGCCAGGTGTGTGGGTCCCTGTGGGCTCTGCACCCTTCAGGACCAGCTCGCAGCGGCCTTCCCTGGAACCGAGTCTCCAGCGTTGGTCACTCCCGTGCCAGCCTGTCCGCTTGCTCCCAGCCCTGGTCTTGGGCCCGTACCCCGCCCCGGCCCCCGACTCCCTTCTGTCCCTGCATTTCCTGAGAGGGTCCATCAGGGGTCGCTCCTCCTGCTTCTGTCACCAGGGCCTGCTCCAGCTCGCCCGCCCACCACTGCTGGAAGTGCCCCATTTCACTGCCTCCCTCACGCATCGGCCTTCGAGTCCCTCATCTCCGCTCTCGTGAATGGAACAGTTCCAAGCAGGCTGGAAGGTGTCTTGACGCCGGCCCAGTATTCGGAACCGGGAATGGAGCACGGGCTGGTGATGGGTCAGTGGGGTGGAGGAGACACTGCCTACCTCACCCCTGTTCCTGCTCCCACAGCACCATCAGGCCGGGAGCTGGACCGGGTTCAGCCCAGTCAGCCCCTCGCCCCTCTGACGCTCCCTGCCCTAGAGGGTCCCAGTGGGCCCCTGTCAGCCTCTGTCTCTGGGATTCTGAAATGAGTTGCAGGGTGGACTTGGCCCCTGACACCAAGGGGTGTCGCCTGGCTGGAGATTACAGCACAGCTGCCTCAGCCCGGGCCCAGCACGACCAGCGGTGGTCCCACAGAGCCCGAGAGAAGACAAGGCTGGGCTCACTGGGTGTGACTCGCTAGCCAGGGCAATGGCTAGGTTCTCGGGGTGCCCGGGGTCAGGGGAGGCTGCAGGCAGTGCTGCACGTCTGCTTCGGAAATGGGGAGAGAGGAGACCCGTGGGAGCCAGGGCAGGGTCCAGCCTGTGGGGTGACAGACCACTCTGGGCAACTCTCGTGAGGGCTGGCATTAGCGGGCTGTGTCCACACTGAGGAAGCACCGAGCTGGGCCTTTGGCCACTGTGAGCTTGGAGCCATTGCCAATGTCCTCTGTGTCCCCTCTGGGGCAGGGATGAGACCTGTCCCAGGGACGCAGCCGCTTGGCTGAACAGACAGCTCCCAGGTGTCCCTCCAGGGCTCTGAGGGGTGCCAGGGAGACTGAGCGCTGAGCCCTGCCCTGTGTCCCTCCCAGCCAGGGTCCCAGCCCAGGTCATGCTTTGGCAGGTGGGCTGGGGGAAGCCACGGTTCACGCTGACATACAAGGCTGAGCCAGAGAGGAGCAGCTTTCGTCTCGGGCATAGCTGGGGTCTCTCTGCAGACCCCAGACTGATGCCGAGAGAGGGTCCTGGCCCAAGCAGGGGCCAGCACGGCCAGGCCTGCTGCCCCCTCTGGGCGACAGGCTCAGACCCACTCGTGTGTGAGAGGCTGGGGGACCTGTGGGCTTGGGCCCGTGAGCTGGGTGGGACTCCAGACCAGGTGAGGACGGCCATGGAGCATGATGGCCTGAGGGCCGAGGGTGGTGAGCACTGAGGGGGACGGCGGCAGCATGGCCAGGCACCCCTCACAAGGGCCCGTGAGACTTGCTGCTGGCGCATGAGTCCCGTCGGGTGGCCATGAGCACAGATGGGGTCAGCCACTGTCCGCGATGCTGGCGAGAGACGGTTTCCCTGCTAATCTGTGTCCTGGACACTTGCCGAGTGAAGGGGCGACCACGGGAGGGAGCGCGTTTCCTGCTCTGTTTCTCTACTTAAACTGGGCCAGAGGCGGTCCCACCTTTACAAACCTGCTTCCTGGGGCTAGAGCGACAGTACAGTGGGCAGGGTGCCTTCCTGGCACGGGTTTGATCCCCGGCACCCCACAGGGCCCCCCAAGGCCTGCCAGAGCCAACAGTAAGCCCCGAGTATCACTGGGCGTGGCCCCCAAACCAAAACCATAAATAAATAAACAAAAAGCACTGTAGCACTGTCCTCCCGTTGTTCATCGATTTGCTCAAGCGGGCCCAGTAACGTCTCCATTGTGAGCCTTTGTTGCTACTGTGTTTGGCATATCGAATACGTCACGGGGAGCTTGCCAGGCTCTCCTGTGCGGGCGGGACACTCTCGGTTGCTTGCTGGGCTCTCTGAGAGGGGCGGAGGAATCGAACCCGGGTCGACTGCATGCAAGGCAAACGCCCTACCCACTGTGCTATCGCTCCAGATAAATGAAAAAGTAAATACAAATACCCCTTCCGCCCCCCTAGCAATTCCGGGTGTCCTAGTTCTGGGGACTGTCCTGAGGAATGAGCAGGGGTCTGCCCTGTGCTGAAGGCAGCGCTCAGTTGGGGCAGAACATCAGCTAACACTCACCAAGCCACACTCAGTACACGCCTGGCTGTGGGGTGGTGGTCACGGAAGGTGGCAAAGAAGAAATTCATGTGTTTATATGGGATTTTCTATTCTTAAAGTTTTGGGGGAAACGCTCTAGTGAATTTAGAGGAAAACTTAAAAAGAAAAAAACTAAAACCAAAACCAAAACCAACCATCAGGAGAGGTCAGGGGAAACCCCAGAGCTGGGATGTCCAGGCCCTGCCGCTGGCCCTCCTGACCACACGGGGGCGCTGTGTGCCTTCCCGCAGTGCCGGGAGTGTGTCCACGCCAGCCCCGCCTGCAGTGGCGGTGGGGGTCTGGCAGGCCCAGCGTCCACTGCTTGGTCTGCTCCCCGCACTCACTGTCCACAGAGCTGCCCGGCGCTGCCCACGGACACAACTGCTCCTTTGATTTAGAGGGAAGCAGAAGAGCCACAGCTAAGTGGCCACTGCCCAGCGGCCTCCCTGTCCGTCCAGGGTGAGCTTTTGGACTCTGTGCCCCTTTGGGGGCAGGTGACGGCCACGCGGGGGGCGGAGGGCCGGGGCAGTGCCTCCTGTTGAGACTCCAGCTGGGTTCTGCCCAGGAAGCCTCTGGTGCCCGGATCCAGGGCTCAGGAGGGCCAGCTGCAGGCAACACCCCCGCCTGGCCAGCCCCGTCCTCTCCGCGTCCCTCCTACGCGCCAAGGATGGTTCGTCCATCCAGGGGTCAGAGGCACCAGAGGTCAGGCGACTTGCCGAGGGCCTTGCTGACCCCACCTGCCTGACTCGGGCCGGCTCTGTCTGTGCCCACCCGAGCACCCAGGGCCCAGCAGGGGGCAGAAGCCAGGAACAGCTGCCATTGTGGGGTGCAGGCAGGAAGGGGACTGGATGGTCCTCCTCACCCTCCCCTGGCGGTCCTCCCTTGACCCTGCCTGGACTGATCTTCCCCACCCTGCCCTGACTGTCCTCCCAGCCCTCCCCCGATGGTCCTCCCCGTCCTCCCCCAACAGTCCTCCCCGCCCCGGCCTGAAGGTGCTCCCACCCTGCCTGGACAGTGCTCCCCCGCATGCCCTGGGGCCCTGCTCACACCCGCTCACCCACTCGGCCATGCATGTGGCACCGTACACGTCCGCTGTGAGGCGATGCCGGCCGCCCAGGGGAGAGAGGACAGTGGCTCTCAGTGGTGGGCCTGGGCCTGAGTTGAGGATGCAGCAGGCCAGCTGCTCCCAAAGGCCCCAGCCTTCCTGGTCTTCCCAGACAGCCCTGGGGGCCACTGGCCGGGGGGCCAGGCACCTTTTCCCCTGGAAGCCTCCACCTACTGCCCAGAGCCAGGCCCGGAGAAGGGCCAGAAAGGGCCCCTGCTCGCCACGCCTCGCCTAGGGTGGGGGGGCTGGGACCCCCTCCCACATGCCCCCAGCCCCTCCTAAAGACCCAGCTGAGGCCAAGAGGCCCGAGCGCC